ATGTTTTCCTATGTGTCCGTGTACATAGCGTCCTTTACAGTCGTTTACAGGCATTTGAGTGTACAGTCGTTTTTTTGAACACAGAAAACTTGCGTTCAGCAGTTGATTTTATCAGCGTTTTGAATGCAAAACGCTTGTAAATGCGGCAAATCGCGTTTAGAAGCGTTTGCAGATTTTTTTTTTTTAACTCTTCCAGTTCCCGATGCTGTCCAGAGCCTCTTTTCATCATGAAAAATGCATGGAATGCGTTTTCAAGGTACTCAGATGGACAAAACACTGAACACAGGATGTTCCCACCAAGCTTGTCTCACATTGTAATGACCAATTCACACCTCAGACCTCTCCCACCCTTGGAAACAAAAGATAGGTTAATGACCATTCACACCTCAAATTCCTCATGAAGACCCCCTGCCAGGTGGCCTTACTGATTCCCTCCACCAGACACCTTTCCCACCCTTGGAAACAAAAGAAATGTTAATGAGAAATTCACACCTAATTATCTGAACACATACTGCTGTCTCTTCTTCTACTCTCTGTATTTCTCTGAAACAGTCTGAAATAGTTAATAATTTACCACTTTTCAGTGCATTCTGGGCATTTGGGAAGGTCTACTGTACTTATCTTTAAAAACCGCTTCTAATCGCAAACACGCATAAACGCGTTATGCAAACGTGGCTAAAGAGACTTTTTTTAACCTACGTTTTCCAGCGGTCAGTTTCCATGGTTCAGAAGTGTCCTGTATACATGGGGCCTTGGAGCAGGTGCATCGTGGCAGCAAGCCTTTTAGTATGCATTGCCCCAACAGAGTACCATGGAGAACCTGTCACATTGCCCTGAAAGAGCAAAGTGAAAAGGAGTCCTTTAAGGGCTATTTACACTTGCATTTTATTTTACAGCAAGTATTCCCGACATACTAAACCACATGCCAAGAAAAGATAATGCCTGCTGAAATCTCAGTGCTGCATTGCAGTGCATTTTCAAAAAAAATGTATGTCCATTGTTTTTTTTTTTTTTGTTTGTGTGTGTGTGTGTGTTTTAGTAGGCCCATAAAAGTCAATGGCAGTGCTTGATGCAAATGCATATACAGAGGTGTGGAAATTAAAAAAAAACAAAAAAACAAACTACTTGTCCAAGCACTGAATCAGGGTTCCAATCTACTTGTCCCTCATGACAATCTACATGTCCTGATAGAAAAAAAAACCCACAATTTTTGCCAGGTTGGAAAATATGAAGTGCTGATGTTTATTAGGCAGAGGTACTTTTAGGAATGTTTGGGGCTTTTAAAAATTAAAGGGGCTTTATGGTGACTTAAACTGCTAGAAAATTTCTTAGAACCCCCAGATATATATATTTGGTTTTTTTTTTTTTTTAAACAGCAGAGTCCCTGGAGAATAAATTGGTGGTTTTTTTTAAAACAAATTTTGTAACAGTATTTGCGCAGCAGTTTTTCAAACAGTTAAAAAAAAAAAATACTCTATTGAATTTTAATGCAAAAAAGACAATATGAAAACTATTTTTTAGTAAAAGTATAAAAGATGGTGTTACGCTGAATAAATGGATAACAAACATGTTACACTTTAAAATTGCGCACGCTCATAGAGCAGTAATATATAAGGTACATTTTTGCTATCCATAGGCAATGCTTTAAAAGCCTTTTACAGGTTATCTATCTATACATTCAGTTGTATCCGACCCTTGATGATTGCATGCACTGTCACTCGCAACCGACTTTTTCCATGAATTGTCTTGGCAATTATTTTACAGGGTAGGTTGCCAGGTCTTTCTCCAACCCCTACCATGCAGGAGATCTCGCATGGCCAGGGATGAAACTAGGACAATTTAGACAGGAGCCAATTAACCTACCAGCATGTCTTTAGAGTGTGGGAGGAAACCGGAGTACCCGGAGGAAACCCAAGCGAGAACATGCAAACTCCATGCAGGAGGCGCCATGGTTGGAAATCGAATCCATGACCCATTTACTGCACGGCAAACATGCTAACCACTAAAGCACTGTGCCGCCCCTCTTTACAGGTTACCACCTTAGATTTACAGAGGAGGTCTGGTACTAGAATTACTGCCCATGATCTGACTTTCTCGGTCACTTGTGGGCCGATTGCTGTTTGCATGTGTGCAGGACCGAAACACGCGTTTGCCTTTGTGTGCGGGGACGGGGATACTTAAAAAAAAAAAAATAAAAATTGTTTTAACTATTTATTGTTTTAACACGGTCACTTTAATTTTTGTATGTAAACATTCTTTGTGACAGGTGCTCTTTGAGAGATCTGGAGTTAATAAGACCCCAGTTCTCTCCTCTGTCCTTTTTAAAAGCATTTGATCCCACAAATTCTTTCCATTTTTAAAAATGGTGCCATTTAAATCCGGGAAACTGGAAGTGATGTATGCTAATCGCTTCCTGTTTCCAATATTGTAGAGCTGGACAGAGCGGTTCCCGACTTTGTCTGCCTTTATGGTCAGCCGGCGGTAGCGCCAGATGATCGATTGGGTGTCCTGGTGGGACGCGACAGCCCGCGGAAAGGGGGATATCCCCTCCGCTGCTTGTTCAAGCGATCCAGTGGCTAGTTTGCTGCTCGGATCTTTTACAAGAGAGCCGACTGTCCGTTGTAATTCCTGCTGCATGCCCACAGCAGGGCTAAAAATATGAAACCTCTTGCTCGGAACTGCATGTCCTGAGCATCGGGCTATCGGAATTTCAGATCCCTGATATAACAAGAGTGCTAAAGCTTTGGCAACTGGTATTACCAAGCCTTGGTCAATGACAGTTAACCCTCCACTCCAAATTCTGAATTAAAAATACATTGAAAATGTGCATCAAAGAGCATGTCCGCATACAACAAGTGCACATTGATGAATGACAGGTAGCACAGTGGCTAAATGGTTAGCACTTCCGCCTGGCAGTACTTGGGTCACTGGTTCTAATCCCAGCCACAGCACCACCTGCCTGGTGTTTGCATGTTCTCCCTGTGCCTGCGTGGGTTTCCTCCGGGTACTCCGGTTTCCTTCCACACTTCAAAGACATGCTGGTAGGTGAATTGGATCCTGTCTAAATTGGCCCTAATATATGAATGTGAGTTAGGGACCTTAGATTGTACACCCCTTGAGGGTTAGGGACTGATATGAATGTACAATATATATGTAAAGTGCTGCGTAAATTGACGGCGCTATATAAGTACCTGAAATAAATACTGCAAGGGTTAAATGCTTGTTTAGGTCTATAAAACAGGAAAATACTTTTACTTACCCAATCCTTTGTTCTGGCAATGGACTGTCCCTCCCAAATCCAATACAGGGCTATAGGCTCTGCATCGGTCTTAATGATGTCAGAACACTTGCAAATGCAGCATAAAAGGGAGAAGAGGCTGCAGGGACTAGTCTAGCACTGCGGATGCTTCTCTGGGAGCAGGGGATCAAGTGAATAAACTTGTTCACACTAGCAGTTGGGGGGCAGTAAAACCAAATGCAGGGCTGTGGGCTCTACATTGGTTTTGATGATGTCAGAAGTAGTGATGCACCGAAATGAAAATTCAAAATGCACTTGGCCGAAAACCAAAATGCACAGTTTTTAAAAATGAATATATATTTTATGGAAAAAAATACACTTTGATTTAAAAAATAAAAAAATGTATAATTACACACACACACACACACACACACACACAAACACACACACGTGACGGCACGGGTGAATGGTCAATCAGGGGCTCAGTGCTGTCACATGGGGGCAGGGAAAGAGTCCTCTGTAGGTTCCAAGCACATCTTCCTATGTTGAAATGGCCACTAGTAGTCTCCATTATGACAACAATATATATGTAAAGCGCTGCGTAAATTGTCGGCGCTATATAAGTACCTGAAATAAATAAATGACAGCGCACCGGCCTAACACTAAAAAATTATGCACGACTACACACGTCTATAGATCTAAATGGGCCCTTAATCCGGATTGTGGAAGACTCGCCTGTCACTTTTATCTGTCGCTGGCAGTCGATGCTGAAGTGTCGCTGCTTCAATAGCAAACAGAAGCCCCTGACACATCTGTGTACTAGACGATGGGAAGACACTGTACTATTATTACATATCAGACCCAGCGTGGGATGGCAGCGCCTGGCACTGCCTCAGTCTCCATTAAACATTCAGTGTGGCAGGGAACACAGTCTCGTCTGCAGTCTTCACCCAAACAGCCAAGTGTTTCGTCCCCGGCTGTATTCCAGGCACTGGAGTGCTGTGATTCTTACCCGGCATAACTTCTTCGCTACACAGGAACATATTAAACCAGATCAACTCGCTGCTCCTGTCAGAGATGAAAGGACTGATGACACAGCAAATGATATCTTGCATCATGTACAGTGTTTTCTTATATTTACGAGCTTCCGCCTCTGAGGCTGCCACTGCATGTGTGTGGGATTTTTACCATTCTTTATAGTTGTATGGGATAAGAGCAGTCGCAGCAATCACACAACCAGAGTTCACTTAAAAATCGCATATTTTTTTGCCAGTAAAAAAAAAAATGGCACTTTTATTTTTTCTTAAGAGTTTGCAGAGCATTAAACCCGCAATTAGCAGACCGGGTGCAATGTCAGGCTCCTGCCGAATCTGCTCAGATCAGGAAGAATCAATGAACAATGAAATCGCTCATCAGTGTCCTCTGTTTATTGAGAATTACAACCCGTTTGTCTTGTTGACAGGCGGGACTTGTAGTTCAGCTATTCACTGAAACCCGTGTTTTTTAAATTGTGACAGCGGGTGCGGGGAGTCGATCCCCCCACTCGGTGTCACCTTTAGGAAATCAGGATGGTGCGGTGCTGCTGCTTTAGTAATGTGTTACATGTTACACCCTGAATACATGTAACTAAGGGCTTGTTCACACTTGGCTGTTTTACCAACACTTGCCAAATGCCCCTATAGCGTTTGGCAAGCGTTGGTCTGGCGTTTGCGGAGCGATTTTTAACGCTCGGCAAACAATCCGCAAATGCCGCATGTGCGGTTTAGCGGCGGTTGGTAGGCGTTTGCCGAGCTTTAATAACGCACCACAAACGCCTATAATGCAGTTTGAGTGGTGTTACCGCTCCGCAACCGCATCGCAAACGCCGGCCAGGCATTTGCGGAGCGGCACCATAGACGAGAATAGGAGGCTTCAACGCCTCCTGACTCGACCAGAGGCGTCCATTTTGACGCAACGCAAACGCTCCCGTTAGAACAGCACCATGTGCTGTAATGTGCAGAATTGGCAGAGGCGTTTGGGAAGCGGTAAAAACGCTTCCCAAACGCCTCTCTGCCGCCTGCACACAACGCTAGTGTGAACGTAACCTTAAGGTGCAACATATCACTAAAGGTGAACTTACCATCTGTGTTCCATTCAAGGGTGCCTGCAATGTAGACACAACAGAACACGAGAGGAAGGGCTTATTCACAGTTAACTGATCCGCTGCGCTGAATTAATGCGAATTATGACACACTTTAACGTGTTTTGCATTAAAGATGAATGCAATCTGTGAGCGCTTCAAATAATAGCAGCTATAGCACGCAAGTTAACCAAAACATAAACCTCATAAATATATGAGTAAAAAGTTCAGCGCTAAAAGGTATGTACTCCAATAAAATATGTTATGATCAGTATGTACGTCAATCCAGATAAAAGTAATACAATAATAAAATATTAAAAGGATTAAAAATAAATTTAATTAAATAGCAACAGTTCGTGATGAGTGATCAATACAGGAGTTGTTAGTGACTTCACGATCCAGTGGTCTGGTGATAAATAGTAAAAATACGCACTCACCAAATGCGTATTTTTTATACGTATGTGATAAATAAACCAGAGATCCCCCTCGTGGGATGGGATGGACGAGCTGGGCTGTCTTAGCGGACTCTCCTTCCTCTGGGTATAGAGCAGCCAAACCGTTGTCTCCCTCTAGGAAATGGACAGGGTACTGGGCAGCTTACATCAGGACGTGCGTCATCCTTAAGAACGCATCTGGTGAGTGCGTATTTTTACTCTTTGTCACCAGACCACTGGATCGTGAAATCACTAACAACTCCTGTATTTATCACTCATCACGAACTGTTACTATTTTATTAATTTATTTTTAATCCTTTTAATACTTATTGTATTACGTGTTTTGCACTATGAATGGGCAACCTACGCACCACAAAGGATGAACACAGGGCACCACAGCCAATAGTATGTGTGTAGTGGTGCACTACAATGCTTTTTGTGTTACTATACAATGTGTTGATGTGTCATTCACAGGGAATGGCATTGCAACTCACTGCACATAAGCAGGCATGCGTTGTGGCAACATGCATTTTAGCACATGTCACAACGCAAAAGTGTACATGAACCCAGTGGTGTATTTAGGTTTTGTGCTGCCCTAGGCAGCACAAAAATTGGCGCCCCCCCCCCCCCCCCCCCCGAAGAAAGAGCTTGACATTGACCAAGAGCACCCCGAGCCTTCCACTACCACTGCCCCCCACCAAATCATCCCCCATGGCAAGAGAGCCACTCACCTTCACAGCTCCAGACATCCCCAGAAACGAGAGTTGTACTGTGCATACACCATCCTGAAACCCGCAGCCTCTCTCGGAACCCACCAGGTCCCAATGCCGCGTGTGTCCTTTCTTCCATCCCTTCTTCCAAGGGGCAGTGCTGCCCCCCCAAAAAAGATGCCACCCTAGGCAAATGCCTTGTTTGCCTTGTGGTAAATACACCCCCTGCATGAACCCTCAGAGAACCTGAATGTGCAAAGTGACAAAGATTCCTTTCAATCCGGATAGTGGTAAATTGCCACTGGCAGTATTTTGAAGAGTCGCTGCCTCGGTAGCAGACAGAAGCCCCTGCCACATCTGTGTCCCCAGACCCTATGTGGGGTGGCAGAGGCTGGCACTGCCACAGTCTGCATTAATGCACAAGTGTCAATGGGCCCTAAATCTCTCTAAAGTGAGATAAATCCCTCCTGTACGGATTTCCCCTCTATTCCTGTTCTGGGACATCTAAACATTTTGGATTATTTTTTTTTACTTTAAAGCTAAACTCCGGGGTACATAATCCTGTGCTGTGCAGGGGTTAAATGTTCATTTAGGTCTAGTGTACCTCCGAAATGCTGTTTTATCTACCCGATCCTCTGCTCCCTGACCCCACAGCCTTTTCTCTTCTATGCCCCAGCGGGCGCATGTCCTCAGATATAATCAGATACCATGCAGAACCAATAGACTTTCATTGGACGTGAAGATGTTGAGCGACAATCCACCGTCGAAGTGTAAGGGAGAAAATGAGGGCGCCAACTGAGAAGTGGCAGATCAGGTAAGTAAAACCGCTTTTCCCAGCACCCTGAACCTGAAAGAAGAACTGAAGGCAATTAAGTGGAACTTCACCCTAAAGAGGAGGTTTCACTTTATGTCCTCTTCCCCTCTTACTGTACCATATTTGGCCCAGTATCATTTTTTAGGGGGAAGCAGATACCTGCTCCAATTGCCTAGGCGATCTGATGAGAGGATCGGCAACCCCTCTCTTTGCCCACAGTCTTTTAGGACATGTCACAGGTCCCGGAAGACTGCAGGACCATTCACAAAGCGCAGCTCACGCATGCGCAGTGGGAAACCAGCTGTGATACCACAAGGAGTCACAGACGGTTTCCCACAGTAAACATGCCGGCGACGGGCATCCAAATACTGGCAAAGAACCTGCCTGGGTGAGGACAGCTCTGGATTATTGGACTAGTAAGTGTCCTTTTATTAAAAGTCAGCAGCTACAGTATTTGTCGCTGCTTACTTTTATTTTTTGACAGGGTGAGTGGAACTTCGCTTTAAGTAATGCTTAAAAGGATTTGTGACTGGACAGTGAAAGGAGAAGCAGCAGACTGATGAGCTCATCGCTCTACTCTCTCTTTCTATTACCATGCTCTATGTTAGCACAGGAGCACTGCAGCAAACCTACATAGTAACATTAAACTTTTTTTCTTTCTCGGGTGACAACCCTCGTTAACAAAAGACTTTGAGCAGGCTATTAATACAGAGGAGACATGTACTGTCTCTTCTGCGATAGAATATACCTACCTGCCTGCTTGCGGTCTTCTGCAGCATATAAACTTAGCTGCACATGGGTCCCTATGTCCTGGGGTGACTGACTCCTCGCATATGCGTCATCCTGCTCTGGTCAATGGAAATACCCAAAGACCAGCGCCCACGGAAAAGATGCTGGCGAGGAACCCGGAGTGTTAGAAAGCAGGTACTTTTATTGCCTTTAGTTTCACTTTAATGTGTATTTAACCCTGGCAGTGTGTGGGCAATCCCCTACTGCATGGGACGATTTTTCCTTTCCCCAGAGATGGATCTTTAAGGATAAGCATGGCCAAAGCTCTTTTGGCCATACCTCATCTATGGGTCACAAGAGTGCACAAAGTTCTTTACTCCTGTGACCCAGACATAAGTCCAGGCTATACAGGGAATCCCAACAATATTGTCAGGATCTGCTCAAATGCCTGACTGGGAGCCAGCTTAACCTCTCAGAGACAGAGAATTTCTCTAGCACAAATACAGCAATAAAAACCTGATGGATTTAAACATTTTCCAAAACGAAGGTTTGGCTTTACCTAAAAGTGTCTGTAGGGGGTGGGGGTTGGGGGGTTGGACTTCTGCTTTTTTTCAGCTGAATGTGAGAATTGGCAAGCTGAATTTCCTTTTTAAATGCCTCATGCAAATGCTGAGGTGTGACCTGTGCCATTGAAAAACAGACATGGAATCCCCTATGCACATGATGTGCCATTGGTGGGGCACAAAACCTAAACGTCCTAAGACGTGGTGCACCTTGCACATTGGTTTGCGGTAGTTTTATGACGTATCACTCGCAATCGCAAAGCTTTTGCAAGGTGAACAAAGTGACATGAACTCTGAAACCATGTTAACCCTTCTGTGTCCCCGAAGGAGACGTCTAATCTTTACAAATCCGCTTGTACTGAGCTCTACAAGTGCTTACGTTAGGAGAAAGTTACACTAAGCCAAGACACATGGGAGGAACGGGAGGAACAGGTGCACTTGTCCCTTTAACTGCGAGTCTCATTGAGTAAGTGCTTTGCCTGACTAGAGCAGACACAGCGATCTGTCCCATTACCCCCCCGGTGACATTTGTCTGCTCCTGACCTTAACATTGACAGTGCTGTTGGAATTTTTTGGCAGGGATGACTGTATCTCATGTTCTCATCATGTTGGGTGGTCTTCCAGCTTTTGTGAAGATCCCTTAATGTGGACAGACACAAATGATGGTTATTACTGGTACACTTTGTTTAGGTAGACATTATTTTGGCAAAGAAAAGAGAGTACAGTGTATATATTGGTCAGGTGGACACGTTGGCTACTGTGTTTATAAAAGGCACATAGTGAGTAAATGGTGGACCTGTTGCAATTGATTCACTATGCATTATATATTCAGCATATGTGCAGATTTGAAATTGAACTCCAGAAAACTGTTAAATGCACAAGTAAACTTTCTTGTGTCAAATGATTTTTATTTCTGTCCTGCCATTTTTGTGATTCATACACCTCTGCCACACAGCTTAGCCAGAAGGGTGACAACACTTTCTCTTAGTTAAAAAATACAGTGATGTCACCTCCCAGTCTGCTTCCAGTGGGTGATGAGTACAGTTGTTTAGGGAATAACAATGGGCCAAACTCAAGACAAGTGTAAGTAGCCACTTGCTTTACTTAGCTGAGACCTTCTTGGAGTAGGGTATGCACTGTCAACTGCAGGTTCGCCCCCTCTTTTGCACTGTCCCCACAAACTTGCCTCCTCATTGGCGCTGTTACCTGCAGGCTCGCCTCCTTTCTTGTGAGTCCACAGACTCGTCTCCTCTTTGGCCTTGTCCCTCACAACGTGCCCCCTCTTTGGCCTTGTCCCTCACAACGTGCCCCCTCTTTGGCCTTGTCCCTCACAACGTGCCCCCTCTTTGGCCTTGTCCCTCACAACGTGCCCCCTCTTTGGCCTTGTCCCTCACAACGTGCCCCCTCTTTGGCCTTGTCCCTCACAACGTGCCCCCTGTTTGGCCTTGTCCCTCACAAACGTGCCTCCTCTTTTGGCCTTGTCCCTCGCAAACGTGCCTCCTCTTTTGGCCTTGTCCCTCGCAAACGTGCCTCCTCTTTTGGCCTTGTCCCTCGCAAACGTGCCTCCTCTTTTGGCCTTGTCCCTCGCAAACGTGCCTCCTCTTTTGGCCTTGTCCCTCGCAAACGTGCCTCCTCTTTTGGCCTTGTCCCTCGCAAACGTGCCTCCTCTTTTGGCCTTGTCCCTCTCAAACGTGCCTCCTCTTTTGGCCTTGTCCCTCTCAAACGTGCCTCCTCTTTTGGCCTTGTCCCTCGCAAACGTGCCCCCTCTTTGGCCTTGTCCCTCACAACGTGCTCCCTCTTTGGCCATGTCCCTCGCAAACGTGCCTCCTCTTTTGGCCTTGTCCCTCGCAAACGTGCCTCCTCTTTTGGCCTTGTCCCTCGCAAACTTGCCCCCTCTTTGGCCTTGTCCCTCACAACGTGCCCCCTCTTTGGCCATGTCCCTCGCAAACGTGCCCCCTCTTTGGCCTTGTCCCTCGCAAACGTGCCCCCTCTTTTGGCCTTGTCCCTCGCAAACGTGCCCCCTCTTTTGGCCTTGTCCCTCAAACGTGCTTCCTCCCTCACAAACTTGCCTCCCCTTTTGGCCTTGTTCCTCACAAACTTGCCTGGCAGTTATCTCAGCAAATTAAATGTCAGGATTTACATGTTTTTTATATTGTACCTACGGAATGCATACATACCAACATAATAATTACATTAACTTAATAGAAAAATGATGTGAACATAGAAGTCTCTCTATAAATTTGTCCGGAGTTGTAGTGTCCGGAGGCTTTGTTCATTGGAACGTCCTTCCCTATATATAAAGAGACATTCCAGTTGTACCGTTATGTTCTTGACTGGCGGGCTACATTGCCCTTCACCAGCAGCTTTGTGTACAGCACAGAACAGCTGACTCTGGAATTTGTCTGGAGATGACACACACAATGATATCATCATCCACTGGGCCTATTACACCGATATGTACTTCTTGTGGTTGAAAAAAGACACCGGTTAATCAAGCCTGACCTTTGGCTGTTTCCCCCTTTCTGTTGATACTAAAGAAATCGTAAAAACCCCAGGGCGTGCTATTTTTGGATTTGCCTTACATGTGGAAAATGGATTCTTTTGTGGATCTGGTTCTGGCGTGACTGTACTTAACCCTAAAGAGTCACAGCTGTTGTAGTAGAGCGACTAGAGGAGATGATTTCGTAGCAGTAAGTCGAGCTGTTTTTACAGAACTTTCGGCTACTCTTGCAGAGCATGTCACATAGGTGCGCTGTTGAAGTGTACCATGTGGTGGCGCTAACGTGATGAGGTCATCTATCTTATTAGACTGAGTGCAGAGCATCACT